CAGAAATGAAAATGCAAAGAAAGTATACAAACAAAATGAACTCAGAACAGAAAATTATGTGGAACAAAGAAACCAGCAACACCACAAAGACACACAGCAAAATGACAACAATTAATTCAGACCTGTTAATAATTTCAAGGAGCTCTGGTAGTGTAGTGGCTACAAATCGGGCTGCTAACCTCAAGGTCAGCAGTTTGAAACTACCAACTGTTCTGCAGGAGAAAGATGAGGCTTTCTGCTCCCGTAAAGATTTACAGCCTCAGAAACCCTATACAGGGTCACTATGAGTCAGAACCGACTCCACGGCACACACCCACCATTAATAATTACACTGAAAGCAAGTGGATTAAATGCATCAATCACAAAACAGATCAGAATGGGTAAGAAAACAGAGTCCTTCAATATGCTGTCTACAAGAGCAACATCAAAAAGATAGAGACAGCCTAAATGCCCATCAACAGAGAAATGGTTAAACAAACTTTGATACATACATACATACATACAATGAAATGCTACACAATGTTGAAGAACAATGGTGAATCTGCGAAACACCCCATGACATGGATGAACCTGGACATTATGCTGAGTGAAATTAGTGAACCACAAAAAGGCAGATATTTGATGCGACCAATGTTGTAAAAAGTTAAGAAAAGATTTTCATGATAAAGGAAACAATCTATGATAATTGAGGCAGATTATCCAGGTGCTAGCCTGTAGACAGTTGTTAACATGGGTAACAGGGCAGGTAATATACAAGAGGGAGGTGGGCAGAGGAAAGATGAAGGTACAGCATGATACGGGACTGCCATGTTAAAGTGAGTAGAGTAAATAGTATTGATTTGATACATGGAAGGAATTCCCATCGTTGTAATGAAGCAAATCGTATATTATTTGTTGAATGTCAAACTGATGATCTGCTCTGTAAACCTTCACTCAATTCACAATAAGAAGTTACAAAAAATAAATAAGGGGAATGGAAACTAAATTGGAACGTTTCATCTTACACTTTTACTAGCTTTCTACTTATGTATCCCTTGGCTCTGGGGTTAATTTTTTGCATTGGTGTCTATCTGGTAAACATTACAGACTTGAAACCCCATCATACTTTATTAGTCCTAAAATCTATATTTTTCTGCACATTTTAGCTTGTCTGAAATCAATATTCAGCTTATAATTGCTGTCAACATGGTGGTTGTTGTTGTTGTTAAGTGCCGTCGAGTCGGTTTTGACCAATAGCAACCCTGTACAGGTTTCCGAGGGTGTAAATCTTTACGGGAGTAGAAAGCCTCATCTTTCTCCCGCGGAGCTGCTAGTAGTTTCGAACCGCTGACCTTAAGGTTCACAGCCCGATTCGTAACCACTATGCTACCAGAGCTCCTTAACATGGATGTAATTATCTTAGCCTGGTGCCTGTGTTCGCTTGGTTACAATCTGCCAGAGTGTCATCATTTTAAATGAATGGTTGATGGCATCAAACATGTCAGGTTTAATTGGCATCTTATGTCTTCAAAAAGATTTCACTACGATTCAACATTGGGACAAAAAGTTACTGCGCTTACAGAAAGACATGGAAACAGCTACCGGATGCAAATTTGATATCAGTGAAGCAAATATTCATAATCATTGGAGGAATTACTGCAATTCCATATGTTCTTGCAAAACCACAACAAAATACTTTACAGGACCTAAGAAAAGAAGATATCCACAAGTAGATGAAGCTGTACTAAATTTTGGCAGTGAGACACATGCCAAAGTTTTGCCTGTCATACACTAAGCCATGCAGTTGAAGGCAGGCGAAATTTCCAAAGCCCTTGGTGGCTGGTGGCTGTGTGCCATGGAGTCAGTTCCGACTCATAGTGACCCTGTACAGGGTTTCCGAGGCTGAAATCTTTACAGGAGCAAAACGCCTCATCTTTCTCCTGCGGAACAGCTGGTAGTTTCAAACTGCTGACCTTGCGGTTCACAGCCCGATTGGTAACCACTACGCTACCAAAGCCCTTGGGGTAGATGAAACTGCTTTACTCCAAAGCAGTAAGAAGTTGATGTGACCATGTCATGCATGAGCAGTACTGCCCGTAAGGTGTCAGACACTGTTTTGTCCAAAACATGAAATAGCAGCTGAGGGTAGAAGCTGATGTGTGGGAGAATACAGACACCGGTGACTATGATTTGAAAAGTGATTCAGAAGAGGTAGATTCCAAATATGAAGTGATAGTCCTATCCAATTTGCTTCACTCACTTGTGTGTGTGTGTGTGTGTGTGTTTTGCACAAGATCAACTCAGAGTGACCTGTTTATAAGTGTGAAAGAGTTCATTTGGTAAGTATTAAATGAACATGTGCCATAAAAAAAAACAAAAAACATTCTGTTACAGTCCTTGAGATGCACATTATCTTACTGACATATATGATGTATCTTAACAATTGTTGGTATCTTACATTATTGTTAAGTATGTAGGAGTCCTGATGTGGCACTGTGGGTTAATGAGCTGGACTGCAAAGTCGCTTGAACCACAAGTCGGTGGTTCAAGCTCATCAGTCGCTCTTCGGAAACCCTATACAGGGTCGCTATGGGTCAGAACCAACTCGACAGTACTTAACAGCAACAGCAAATCCTTGAGTCAGTTCCGACTCACGACCCTGAATAGGATTTCCGAGGAGTGACTGGGTGGGTTTGAACTGCTGATCTTGGGGTTAGCAGTCCAGTGCTTACGATATAGCGCCACACCAGTACTCCTTACTTACTTAGATTATCTATCTTCGAGTTACAATATTTACATTCATAGCACTTATTGACTGGGGGAACCAGTTCTTACTCATATTGTTGTTAAATGTAGCTAACTTCATGGCCACCCTATACAGGGTGTATGAGGAGCAACCTGTAAATTTGAACCACTGACCTTGTGGTTCAAACGGACCTTGCGGTCCAGTGCATTATCCCACAGCACCACACTTATCCACTAGGAAGTACTTTCCTTGAGGAGGAGGGAGTAACCTATTTAGGATTTTAGTTTCGTTAATTTAGGAATCTTAAGAGCAATCTTCAACTGAAGGTTAAGTAGGATCAGTCACTCCCTTTGTAAGATAGGACTTCATGCTCAAGGCGCGCATTCTGGAGAAAACACTTCTACCAAACAGCAATGCAGTGATAAGACCTCAAAGGTACCTGGCTTTGGGGAAAAGACGTCTTGGATGAAAATGCCTACTCAACTGTAAATCACCTGCTAGGTTTCCATGTTTGTCTTAACTGAACTTTGGACTGAGTGTTTACAAAAGCAATACAAATTAAAGAATGCTCTGTTCATTAGTGGTAACTGCTTTGTAAGAGAACAAATTGCAAAGCCAACTTATTATGACAAATTCTTCTGTTTTGCAATCTTTGTGTCTCAAGAACTAGTCATAAAATAACACATCTTTTTTTTTTTTAATCATTCTTCTGAGGACCTTCCCCCCTTTCCCTCCCCCCCTTCTCCTGGGCAGAATTTTTTAACCTGCATTTTTTTCATTTAAATATTTTTAATATTTTATATACATTTTATATTTCAGTAAATCCAGTAATGACATCTAAATCAAAATATTTTTGACACATAGTATTCCACTGTATGCACTATAAATTTTAAACCAGTTCCCTGTTTGACACAAATGATCAAGCATTCAACTACTAACTACAAGTTGGCAGTTACAACCAAGACAGGCCTGGAAGTTGGTAGCCATGAGAACCCTATGGAGCAATGCTCTACCATGTGGAATGCCATGAGGTGGAAGTTACTCAGTGACAAGTAGGCCCAGGGTTAAGTAGTAGCTTGGAGTCCGACAGCTGGTAAGTGACTGAGTCAGAATGAACTGAACGGGAGGCAGACGGACTTCAGATTTCCCATTCCTCAAATTTTCTCCTAATTCCCCCTGCTCTCTCACAAAAAGGTGACATTACTATCAGTTTGGCAAGCATCTTCTTTTTCTTTTTTGAGTTTCTTTAACATTTGGGGAAGGGGGAAGTTAATCATTCTTTGTTCTGTCTTCTAAATGCAACCCTTGGGTGGTCTTTCAGAACAGTAATTAGCTTGGGCTCATGGCAATCCAGCTCCCAAGCCCACAGGAGGAATGTTAGCAGAGCATGAAGGGCCCACCTCAACCACTGCCTTGCCTTGTTGTTAAGCGCCTTGTTGTTAAGTGCCTTGTTGTTAAGTTCCGTTGAGTTGGTTCCGACCCGATCCTGTGCAGGATTTCTGAGGAGCTGCTGGTGAGCTGGAGCTTTGCAACTCAAACTGACTTTGCAGCTCAGCGCGTTAACCCAGAGAGCCACACAGGGACCAATGTCTTAGTTTCCTGTGTGGTTGTATAGCACAAATATCACAAATGGGTAGCTTTAAAGAATAGAAGTTAATTTCTCAGTTTGGAAGGTTAAAAGCCCAAATCGGGGTCTTGGCCCTGTGGATTCTTTCTTGTGGGTAGTTCTGGGTGGTCCTTGAATTGTAGATGATCCTCCCATGCCCTGTCCTTTCCCAGTGTGTATGCATCCCTCTGTGTCTCTTCTATTCTTCTGATAACTCAGAGGTGACTAGAACCCACTCGACTTAGGAGTCCTGGTGTGGCGCTGTGGGCTAATGGATCAGACTGCAAAGTCGTTTGAACTGCAAGGTCGGTGTTTCAAGCTCACCAGCTGCTCCTTAGAAACACTATGCAGGGTCATTATGGGTCAGCACTTAACAACAACTACTTAGTTAGGATCTAATTAACATAGCAAAGAAAGCCTTGTTTTTAAACAGGATTGTATCCACAGGCATATGACTGCAGTATATTAGGATTCCAATACATTGGTTTTGGTTGGAAGAGGGCACAATTTAATCCTTAACCTTAAGATAGGGAGCATGACTTCTCTATATCCTCGTCTTTTGGGGAAAGCAAATGGTTTGGCTCCGAACTGAAAGTAGAGAGGCACACACTTTATCTGTTATGTGGTCTCACCTTCTCAGTTTCATTGTAGGTTTGCTTTTCCCCTTAGATACCTACAGGTTTCAGTGTGGCTGCCAGCGTCCGCGTTGGAAATGCGTTGGGTGCTAGGAACATTGAGCAGGCAAAGAAATCGTCAGCAGTTGCTGTACTGATCACAGGTGGTTATGTTTATGTCTTCAGTTAACTCACAACACCATTTCTGCTTGTGGAAACCCAGATTGCCCAAAGATCTCCTTTTTCACTTTGCGTTTCTTCTGCCATTTTTCCTCCAGAACTCTTTGCCATCATCTTTGGCATTCTTCTGTCAAGCAGTAAGGACCTTGTGGGGTACATTTTCACTACTGACAGGTGAGTGCCGAGCTTTCTGTAACTGAGATTTTCTTGAAATGTGAAATCTGTGGTAAGAGATGGTCAAGTCTGACAAATGCTTTCATACTGGACTTCCTGGGTCTGCACTTTGGAGGGGAGTCTGAGTCATTTGAGATTAGAAACTCAAGTTACCTGGGAAGAAGTGATTAGGTAATACCCAGTAGGAGCTGATTTCTAATCTAGAATGTCAAGTTAATGGACACAGATGGTAATTTCTGCTTTGGGTACTCAGAATGCTTGTGTTTATTATAGAAAAGAGTTCTTTTTTAGTATCATTGATTACGTTTTCAGTTAATTATCTCTTTCCCAATGACATACATATATAAGTATATGGAGCCTTCGTAACAACAACAACATTTATGTATACACACACACATATATTTGAAGAAAGACCTGCCATGATCCACTTTTGAAAAATCAGCCATTGAGAACACAATGGATCACAGTTCGGCTGTGACAGACATAGAGTCACTGTGAGTCAGAACGCACTCAACAACTTGGCAGATATAAAAACACACACTCATGTGTAAGTAAAAAGGTATTGCTACAAAATAAAATACCTTTATTAAATAACAATATCAAACTTTGAAGCTATGGCTCTATGACACATCCTCCATGTAAGTCTGCACACTTTTGAAGGTGTTTCCATCTTGTTAACCCTTCTCCTCAGAATTCTGCACTTTGGTTCCCACCACCTCAACATGGACAGCAGTTTGGTTATCCTCATGGGACCCAAACTGTATTCTTTTAAAATGTACTTTGAGTTTGGGGAACAAAAATAAGTCTAAAGGGGCAAGGCTAGGGCTATAGGGTAAGTGGGGTAAGGTTTTCCAACAAAATTCTCATAGGACAGTCCTTGCTACCCTCAAAGAATGAGCTAGTGCATTGCCATGGTGGGGAAAAAAGGCTGTTCGGCACAACTCTCCTGGCCTTTTCCTCACCAATGCAATTTTCAATTTTCTAAAAGCTCCTCTTAATAAGCCTCTGTGATTGGCCTATGTGCTTCGAGAAAATCTCTCAAAATTACCTCCTTTGGGTTCCCCAAAACAAACAGTTCCCATAACCTTCTGAACTGACCTCTGTGCCTTGTGTTTCACTGACCCAGCAGATCCCCTGGGAAGCCACTGTTTTGATTGGGCCTTGCACTGGAAGACGTTAGTAAATCCAAGACTTCTCCTTTTTTATGATTCGTTCTGTAAATTTTCGGCATTAGCTTTGTGGTGGTTGTTACGTGCTGCCGAGTCAGTTCTGGCTCATAACTTAAAAGACTGACAAAAAGATCAATTCTTTGAGCTAACTGATCTCTATGCAATGCTTTTGGCACCCACTGAATCAAAAACTCCGTAAGGCCAAGATGTTTGCTTAAAGTTGAAAATGCCAAGCTATGTGAAATCCCAACCTCAGTAGCTCTTACATAAGTGGTAATTCTACAGTGTTTGTCCACCAGTCTCAGGACATTAGCCACAGTTTCATCATGTGGGAAAGTTAACCTTGGCTCATCTTTGATGTCTTCCAAACCTCCCTTAAAACACTTGATCCATCTAAAAACTGTTGCATTATGGGGCAGAATTTCTGTAAACTTGTTGCAAAGCTTCCATGATTTAGGAAGATGTTCACTTGAATTTTGTTAAAATACTCCTGACCTCAAAACCTCAAAATTGTTTTTTTCCTATGGTATAAAAAGTATCCTTTTTTTCTTTAAATATATACATGTGTGTCTGTGTGTATGCATGCATATCCAAGGGAGCTTCAGAAAGATCATAGAAAAATTCCACTATCTTTTAATTCCATTTTTTCCATGAACTTGCTGAAGCCCCTGTATTGTTGTTGTTGTTGTGTGCCGTGGAGTCGGTTCCGGCTCTTAGCAACCCTGCATAGGGTTTCCGAAGCTGTAATTCTTTACGGGAGCAGAAAACCTCATCTTTCTACCACGGAACAGCTGGTAGTTTCAAACTGCTGACTGTGAGATTAGTAGCCCGATTCGTAACCACTATGCTACCAGAGCTCCATGAAGCCCTTGTATATATCCATATATGTCCTAGTATGGTGCTGTTGGATAAGCACTGAACTACTAACCACAAGGTTGGTGGTTCAAACCCACCAGCCACTCCTCAGAAACTCTACACTGGGTTGATAAGAGTCAGAACTGACTCAACGGCACTTACCAACAATAACAACATATCCATACATATGTATATATGTATGTACACACATATACACAGAAATTTATATGATTATCATTTCAAAGAAGGAGCGCTGGTAGCGTAGTGGTTACGAATCAGGCTGCGAACTGCAAAGTCAGCAGTTCGAAACTACCAGCCGCTCCGCGGGAGAAAGATGAGGCTTTCTACTCCTGTAAAGATTTACACCCTCGGAAACCCTGT